TTTTTTTGCTATAGGGTGCGTGTGCTCGCCAGAAAGACAGAGAGAGACAGAGAGGCAGAAAGTAAGAAATCACCCCCCGGGGGGGTGGGGGATGGCCATGCTGCAATCCCTTCTCCTCCATTCTCTTCTCAGATGCACTCACACGCGCCCAGTGTAAGTTTAAGCCACAGGGTCCGGGACTCAAACTGTGGTCAACTACATGGGAGTCCAGCAACATAACCATCACACTAACTGCTGGTCCCTGTGCTATGGTTTAAGAAGACATTATAACTTCCTTTTTCTTCACATGAGTTTATAACCAATTAAAAGTTAAATATAGGGCTGACCTCATAACTTGGTTGTTCATCCCACATGGCTGAATGTAGTCTGAATCCTGGCTCTGGTGGCTGGGAAAACATGCTGGGCACATGTACATGGGTGTCCTCAATCCCAACAAGATGGAAAAATGGAGGAGGGATTGCAGTATGATCACATAGCATTCTGGGGTGCTTTTTCCCTTTCTCCCTCTGTCTCTGTCAAATACAGGCATACTCTGAGAATTAAAGCATAAAGAACGATAAATATTGAAAAATCAAGCAAAAGGAAAGCAAAATATTTTTTTAAAATCAGTGTAGATTGATTTGGGTTTTGACAATAGCAATCACACCAGGTTTATGAGCATGAGTGCCCTTAATCCTGAGAGAGAAATGGAGGAGAAGGGATTGCGGTGTAGCCATTCCCACTGGAGGGTGATTTCTCACTTTTCTTCTCTGGATCCTTCTCTTTCTCCCCTTTTCTCTCTGTCTCTCTTTGATGAACCCTCACACCCTATGGCAAAAATCTAAAAAAAAAAAAAAACAGCGGTGCAACTTGGGTCCTAATACTAAACTTTGGTGTTACATTTAACCATTTAATCTCAGGCAGTGCTGGCATGTCTGTCCCCTGCCATGCAAAGCAGGCCTTCAGAGTAACATGTACCATGTGACTGGCAACCAAATACTCAGGGCTTGCTCACAAACTCACAAGCACACAGGTTCAGTTCCTCCCTAATTCACTAGCCGCACCTTCCTGAGACTGAAAGTCTGGACTTACTAAACTAGGAGATGACCTACCACATGGAAACACAGAGGAAGGAAGGAAGATTTTACTCTTGACAGCGTGACACCATTTATTCTCAGGAAGGTGAGACTTAAAATAGATTCCCAACTGATCCAGCAATAAAACATGTGCCAATAGGAGGATCTACAGGAAATGGTACCATTTATAGCTATTGATGGCATAAAATTATTAGCCTATAGTCTTTCTTGAAAAGAATTATTTAATTTGATTTATTACTTTAAATTTTACTATGGTATATGCACTCACCAGAGAGAAGGAGAGAGAAAGAAAGAGAGAGAGTGAGAGAGAAAATGAGAAAGCGAGCCCCCAGGCCCAGGACTGAAACCATGGTTGGCTATGTGGGAGTCCATCACCTTAACCACCATGACACCTGCTGGCCACTGGTTTATATTTTAATCCTGTCATATGTACATATATATATATATATGTATATACACACACATACATATATATATATATATATATATATAAATAATAAATGTATAACAGGAAAGCAGTATAAAATTTCAGTTTTACTGCAATACTGAGATAATCTAAACTTTTCTGAGTTGTGTAGTACTCTATAGTTGAATTTTTATTTCTTGGACATAGACATAGATTTATTCTTGCATGATAGCAGACATTATACCAAGAACAGAAAAGAACTTCCTAAAACTACTTTAATAACAAATTAATTCATTAATAAGGAATCCAAGTTTATAAAGTAGAGCTAAAAATCAGATTATTCTGGAGTAATCTAATTTCTTATTTTGTAGTGTATGTCCATTCAACATTCTTTATAAATAAACTCCCAACTGTATCAAATATATATCATGCTTAGGAACATTATTAATAAGTTTATGCATATAATTATTAAGTGTTCACTTTATTTTTAGATGTGAAGAAAAATCTATTATTATTATACTAAACATCATAGATAATTACAATACTGGACTGGCCCCATAGCCAGCTGGATCCTACATAACTGACTAAGGTTCAAACTCCTGCTCTGGTGGCTTGAAAAACATGCTGGGTGCATGTGCATGCATGCCCCAAATCCTGGTGGAATGGAAAATGGAAGAGAAGAGATTGAGGCATGAACATACTCCATTGGGAGGCGTGTTTTTTCTCTTTCTCTGTGTCTCTCTGGCAAATACACATGCCCTCTGATAATTGAAAGAAACAATAAAGATAATTATAATACTTGGAGAAGTTAAAGGAAGCATTCTCTTTCCTTATCGTGCATTATTCTTTGACAGCACACTGGCTTCCCCGGGGTGAATTCACTATCTGCAGCTTCTGCAGGTTTCTTAAATAGACTGTCAGTCCCTAGAGAGCAGAGACCACAAATCAAATAGTAAAGTGCCCCACACTCAGGGCCTCATCAGTCATTTCCAGATACACAGCCATTGCTTCCCATCCTTTCAGCTAATATCAAGTATGGAATACGCACCCCATTCATACATTCGTGATTTTAAGTGAGTTTATATTTTCATCCTTACATCTATTTGGTATATTTTTTCCTTCTGAGAGATACTAGGCCAATGGTTTTTATGAGAAGAAGAAAAAACAGATTTTAGAGTTAAAAAATCCAACTAGTTTAACTTTATGTGCACATAACATTTAACCACACATATTTCCCCTCTGGCATTAAGAAAATGAGGAAGTGGTAGCTATAGTTCTTTATATACATATTTTTACTTTTAATGCATTTTTTAAAAATCGTTTTAAAGATTTATTTATTTATTTATTCATTTATTCATTCATTTTAATTTGACTAGAGAGAGACACAGAGAGAGAGAGAGGAAAGTGAGAAAGCAAGCCACCAGGTCCAGGACTCGAACCGTGGTCGGCCACGTGGGAGTGTCCAGCGCCTTAACCACCATGCCACCTGCTGGTCCCCATGCATTGTTTGTTTGTTTGTTTTTTAAAGAATTATTTTATATAACTTTATTTATTTATTTAAATTTGACCAGAGAGAGAGGGAGAAAGTGAGAAAGCAAGCCACCAGGTCCGGGACTCGAACCGTGGTCGGCCGTGTGGGAGTCCAGCACCCCCAACCACCACGCCACTTGCCAGCCCCCATGCATTGTTTTTTAATTTCAAGAAAAACAGTTTCAGGTTTTTTTTTTTTAACTTAATTTACACTCT